TAGTGGAGCTGTGCTAAATAATATTCAGGATTCCATCTCGTATGTTTGTATTTCTGTGGAATACTAAAAATCTTTATTACCATCAATACACGAATAGATAAAAAAATTTAAATTATCTTTGTCATTCAGAAATGTCTATGTGTCAGTGTCAAGTTATTTGACCAGTGTAATGTCATTCCATAGTGAGGATGAAATCATGGATAGATTATGACACAATCAAAATAAGGGATTCTCTCCTGGCACTTGACATCTCTGCTGTTGTCAAAGCAACTTGAAAAGCCTGTTGCTGCCCATAACATAGAACTGTATTTCTCATAAAATGGTCCTTTGACACCTGCATCAGAACTAGCTGGGGGACAGTTAAAAATGCAGCTTTCATAGTTCACCCCAGCTATTACATTGAAATATCTCAGAATGGGGTCATTTTAATAAGCTCTTCAGGTGACTCTGATGAAAGATAGGGTTTGAGAACCCTTGACACAGAGAGAGTATGACTTGTCAAAATTGCACTTATGGCCATGTCACCCTCCTATCTGTACTCATAATTGGCTCCTCAAAACAGAGAGCAATTGAAAATGTCCAACCTGTCAAATGCCATCTTCCTGGCCTTGTTTCTGGCTGGGTCTCTAGTTTTTTTTTTTTTTCCCTCTCCCTACTGATCACTGTGTGCTGAAAATTCCAGCTACAAGGATTGTTTACAAATTGTCCAACTAGAGCAAGGTGTTTCCAGGCTAAGTTAGCACCATTGCTCTTTCTTTATGTAGATTCCTATCACTGATCCTATCATATTGAATTATAAATGTGTTCTTTTCCTATTCATCTTATTAACTAGACCATGAAAGCCTGAAGACAAGGTAAGTGTGTCGGTTTGGTTGTAGACAATAGAACTCAAATCTAAATAAATTATGCAAGAAACAAGGTGTTCTATAGCTCAAAGATAAAACAAAAGTTTAAACTGGGCCTGGTAACACATGCTTGTAATCCAATAGACTTGGGAGGCTGATCCTAGAGAATCACAAGTTTGAGGTCAGCCTGGAAAACTCAGGAAGACCCTGTCTCAAAATAAAAAAAAATTAAAGGGGCTGAGGATGTGGTTCAGTGGTAGAGCACTGCTGGACTCAAACTCTAGTATTAAAAAAGAAGAAGAAGAACAAGGCGAAAAAGATTTAGCAACTATACTTCAGAGGGGCAGATTTCAGATTTCAGTGACAAGAACTTCTATGTATGAAAGGAAAGGGCCTTGAGAATAAAAAGTGGAGACTATAGGTGACAGTCCCATCAAAGTCATTGTTATAACAGTAAAACATATACACATACATAAATATACAATTGCATTTAATATTATGCATGATTCATAGTAATCAATCAACTTAGTTAAATTCTGGGACAATTCCTCCAACAGAAGTGTATGTGTAGTTACAGAAGAACAAGATGAAGAGATAGTTGCTCAGCAGCGTAAAAATAAAGTAAAATAAATAGATGGCCATTCAGCTGGTCATTTGGGGCCTTGCTCCTGATTGTGCCCCTAACATCTATTGAGGTACTTAACACAAAGTAGGTTCTTATTGAATGCTTGCAGAGTGAATGAAGTCAGAGAGAGAACAAATGCTTATTTAATACCACCTGCCAGGCAATAAGTCAAGGGTTTCATTGTTCTTGCATTTAACCTCAGACAATAATTCTGCAGGTAAACATTATCTGTTGTTTTTCATATGAAGAAACTAATGACCAAGAAGAAAACTGCCAAGGTCATTCAGGTTGCAAGAAAAGGAGTTGTGACTTTGAACATGTCCACACTAGTTTCCCCCATTAGTAAATATATAATGCTTTTTGCCCATAAAATATATATCTTATATTGATTTTTTTATTCTTTGGTAACATCCCTTTTTATTTATTTATTTTTTTTAGTGTCTTTGAAACACTTCCATGCTAACCCAAATGGAGGAAAGCCAATATTTCATAGTGGTTAAGCACACTGATAAGAAGAGCCAGATTTCACGAGCTCAACTTCCAGCTTTACTTTTTTTTTTTTTTTAATATTTTTTAGTTGTCAATGGACCTTTATTTTATTTATTTATATGTGGTGCTGAGAATCAAACATGCTGGGCAAGGGTTCTACCACTGAGCCACAACTCCAGCCCGCTTCCAGCTTTACTTTTTACCATAAATGTGATCTTAGTCAAATTTGAACCTGTCTTCACCTCTATTTTCTGGAAATCAGTATGATAATGTTAATTTCCTATCTCATAGGGTTATTATGAAGATTAAATGAGTTAACATCCCCATCCCTTTTATTTTATTTTTATTTAAGACAGTGTCTTGCTAAGTTGCTAAGGGTCTTGCTAAATTACTAAGGCTGACCTTGAATTGGTGATCCTCCTGTCTCAGCCTCCCAAGTCACTGGGAATACAGGCACAGGCCATAATGCCTATATACTTCTAAAATTTTATGAAATACTGCCAAATGGACCTATAAATGATAAGCCGCTATTTTTAACATTACTTTATCTATTTGTTGAGTCAATTTATCACACTTTACCAAACTTATCAAACTTTACATTTTCCTATGATAGACATTCAGCTTCCTCTGATTTTGCTAATAAAAATAAGCTCCAATGAATCTAGAAATGTCTTTCTCATTCCCTCAATGCTTCTTTTTTTTTTTTTTTAAAGAGAGAGTGAGAGAGATAGAGGTAGAGAGAGAAAGAATTTTTTAATATTTATTTTTTAGTATTTGGCGGACACAACATCTTTGTTTGTATGTGGTGCTGAGGATCGAACCCGGGCCGCACGCATGCCAGGCGAGCCCGCTTGAGCCACATCCCAGCCTCCCTCAATGCTTCTTGAAGTTACAAATTCACTTCATCTTTTCTGCAAAGAAATAAGTCTACTTGAGTTAGCTACATGAAAGCCACCAGTGACATTGATGATGGAACCATTTGGGGACATATAGAGGTAGAGAGGTCCTTACAGAACCCAGACTGGACAGGACAAAGAGGGGAAAATTAAGAAATGGAGACATAAAAGTAGAAAATTAGCTCTAGAGATTTGATTTTGAAAAGATTTAGGGGACAAGCTGAGGGACAAGTAGAATCAGGAAGGGTTTTTTTTTCTTTTCTTTTAGAGATAAGAGTAACTCTTTATTTTTCATCTACCAATCTTCCCCTGCTGGTCCAGCTCCACACATCTTCTCTGGTCTTTGTTCCTATCCCACTCACAGTTCCCAGTGCTTTTCCAGTGCTTCTCTAAATTTGTGAATGGCTGACTCCTTTTTATTATTCATGACTGCTCAATTGTTACTTAATTCAAAAAGTTTTCTCTTTCTTATTCTTCCTTTTTTTTTTTTTTTTTTTTTTTTTGCCATGATAAAGGTTAAACCCAGGGCCTCACACAGGCACTCTATCCCTGAGCTACATCCCTAGTCCTTTTCTTATTTTATGTGAGACAATAAGTTGCTCATTGCTGGTCTGAAACTTACGATTTTACTGCCTTGCCCTCAGGAGTAGCTGGGATTATAGGTGTGTACCATCATGCCTGACCTTATTTTTTTCCCCATCCTTATTCTTTGTGTTTATCTTCTTTATTTTTGTTGTTGTAGTTTTTTGTTTGTTTGTTTGTTTGTTTGATACTAGGGATTGAACCCACAGGCTTTTTACCACTGACTTATACCTCTAGTCTATGTATTTTTTATTTTGAGACAGAGTCTCACTAAAATGCTTAGGGCCTACCTAAATTTCTGAGGCTGGCCCAAAACTCGTGATCCTCCTGCCTCAGCCTCCAGAGTTGCTGGGATCACAGGCCCAGGCCACAATGCCCTATTTCTTGCTGGTTCTTGTTTGAGATGATTTATTCATTTATGTGATCATCACTTATATTTTCTTGGGGAAACAAGATGAAGCTTAAGGGATCATTATGTATTAGAGGTATGATATACCTTATATGTGTGTTTTGAATGTTGTTCTGTAAAACTACATGAGAATTTAAAACTTGCTCAAGATTTTTGTCTTTTTAAACTAAATTATGTGATTCTGTGAGATTTGACTTTTTGTTTGTTGAAAACTTATCACAGATAGTGTCTGGCATGCAGTAAGCACTAAATACCTTTTTTTGAAAATGCATTAAGTCAGTGAGTGATATCCAGTCTTGGTCATGTTAAAAAATGATAGGTGGGGTGGGGAGAGTATACAAACAGTAGAAAGAAATCCTTAGTTGAGGAAACCAGAATCCCTGTCCTAGAACCAAGATTTGAATTCAGATCTCTTTCAAAACCCCATCCCACTTCTCCATTTATGGAGCACTGAGTAGATGACTAATCTACTAGAGATCATCTGTGATAGTCTGTGTCTTAAGAGACACTCAACCTTGAGGGTTTATATTTTTGTTTTTGGTACTGGAGATTAATCTCAGGAGTACTTAATCACAGAGTCATATCCCCAGGCCTTTTTAGTTTTTATTTTGAGACTAGGTCTTTGCCAAATTGCTTGAGGGTCTTACTAAATTGCTGAGGCTGGTTTCGAGTTTGTGATCCTAGGGTCTCAGCCTCCTGAGACCCTGGAATTACTAGCCTAAGCCACCACAACCAGCTGTTTTAGGTCATCTTTGCAGTTTATTATGATTTCAATGTGGAGGACTGATAGGATCATCATCTCTCAGGTAGGTGTTTTCTAATTACCATAAAGCATGACCAGGATATCACTCTCCTTAATTTGTGACCAGAGAGAAGAAGGCGTGTGCCTTAGCCTGGCAGGTTCACTGTCTGCCCAAGTCTTCTCTGCGAAAGAGGTTTCAGGTTTCAATTCTCCCAGGACCTCAAGACATCGCAGCTTGTGAGGTGCGGCTGTCGACTCCGCCTCTGCACCCCAATCAAGGCAGCTAGCGAAAGACAATTTCAAACCCAGGGCTGCGCACTTCGCCTGCCCTCGACCGAGGTTGAACGCGGCGGCGGAGACGGCTTCCAGGCTGTGCTAGCTGGGCGAGCTAGGAGGCGGCGATCACAGCTGGGCTGGGACTTCCTTCCTCCACCGCAGGACAACAAAACAACCAAGAGCCGGCACTGAGCTCTTGGCAGCTGTCTGAGCGAGACGCGCAGCGATGGGCTCCCTGCTGAGCAGCGACAGCAGCAAATCCTCGCCAGCCTCTGCCACCCCACGGGCCGTGGAGCGCAAGGGGGACCCCGAACTGCCCGTTACGTCCTTCGACTGCTCCGTGTGCCTTGAGGTGTTGCACCAACCCGTCCGGACCCGCTGTGGACACGTGTAAGTGTCTGGGGAGCTCGGCTTGCACGCCTACCCTCTGGGGAGGACGATGTTGGGGAAGCCGAAGGCATGGTGTGTGTGTGTGTGAGTGTGTGTTTTAAAAGAAGCCAGCGCGTTAGAAAACTGCTGCAAGGATAAACCTCAAACCGCTGGGGGCGGGCCACGGGGAAAATGCCTCATCGGAGGGTTGCACAGAATTTCGGTAGGGGAAAACAAACAATCGGGCTACGCAGCACCCTAAAGCTGCCTCCCCCTGAAACCCAGGTGCCTGCTCCAGAGATAGGGATCCAGGCGCTGGCCAGCGGAGAGCCAGGGCTTGCCAGCTGGTGAAGAACCAGCGCACGTCCTGGCACAGAAAGGAAACAAGCGCTGGCCACAAGGCTCCCACAAAGCAGTTTTCCCGCTGGACTTGGTTGAACCGGCTGTAGCTTCTCTCTCCCCACGAGAACTCGAGTGGTTTTGTTTTGCTCTATGTGTGCACGTGCTGCAGAACCCTCACGGAAGCTGGGTGTCTTGAGCAATCGGGGGTCTGTGAAAACTGCCCTTCCATCCCAATCCCGCGTCCGTTTACACACACACACACACACACACACACCCCTCAAAGATCTTCAAGTCCAACTGGAGCATCTGAGTGACTTTTCTGAAGTCGTTGGACAACAACGTGGGGCATGAGACTTGAAGTTAGAACCAAACCAATGATTGTAAGCCATTTAAAACCCAGCCACAAAGTGACAGGAGGCTGCAGATTACCTGCTTTATGCTCGCCTCTCCAAACTGAAAGTATGATTAAAATAACTTTCTTAAAAGCCACGGTACTATTTACTTAAAACTCAGTTGGTGCAAAGCACAGTAGTTTTTAAGAAGGGTTTAAAAGTTCCTATATAAAATCTGCGGGTCTTTAGCGAGAGCTTGAGTAGTAATGTGGTGGAAATTGGATCTGTAATTCGTGTTCACTGTTCACTTAGGAGAACTGCCCCCTTATATGGGTGTGAGTGTGGTTGTTGTTGTTGTTGTGTGTACATGATGCACAGATCAGGAGTGAAGCCACTTAATGTCACCTGGTAGATGAAGCACAGGAGCAAAACCTCAGTTGCTTAAATGGGCTTTTGGCTTACCAAGAAAGAAGAAAAGGCATATTAAAAATGCAAACGTACAAAGTGCTTTTGAAAGGATTTAAGTGGTCCTTGAGAAGCAGTTTGCACCATTGCTCATCAGTGAGCCAGGGAGAAAAGTGTGCTGCCCACACATATTTAAGTAGAGGGCTCTGGGCATTATTTTGTGACTGTATTTTCAGGGCCTTTTTTTTTTTTTTTTAGCTTTGTACTTTAAACTCATGGCTTAAATTTACCCCCTTTCTACTTATTGATGTTTCCCAGTCATCCAGACATAGCTCATTGACACAATATCCAAAGGCCAGTATGAAAGCAAAAAATGCTGTTGTGTAACAGGATAAAGTATGTTGATGAGTTCAGGATAATAATAACCTGAAGATAACTACATTAAATTTAATCTTTATTAGCATTAAGACTAAAGTTGTGCCAAAGATGAACAGTGAGTCTTTAGTTCCTTCTGTAAAACTGGAATGGGCATCTGGAGGTTGTTTTTTGAGTTTGGAATTTGGACACTATAATTTATTGTTTACAGTGTTCTGGCTTCTACTAAAGGGTAATATAAATTTGCAAAATGTCAAATTTTTAGTTTAATCTTTTTCTTTGTTAAAGTGAACAGGAAGCCAGGGACTGGAAAAATAGTCATAAAATAGCATAACAAAGGCTGGACAAACTGTCTTCCCTAACTTTACTGTTCTTTGTTTGGACAAATCTATGTCCATTGTTCTGGCTGTGGGCAGAATTTCCATATTCCTCCTTTTGGCAAATTTACTTGGGCTCCTTCCACTTTATAAATGTTAACCAGAGTCCCTTTTACACTGGAGACTGTGTGTTAACACCATTTGTGCACACTAAATGAATTAATATTTTCCAATGAATATAGAAAATAAAGAAATGCAAACGGAATCTCTATTTTATTATTCCATATTGAAATTAGATTTCCAAACTTATTGAACTAAGTCTTTTTATTCTGGTTTCTGTTTACGAACCTATTTCAAGTCAAACAAGTATAATAATGAAATGATACTCTGAATATGTATAGAGTACTTTATAAATTGTATTGTAACAGTAGAAACTGGGCATTACAGAGCACTAGACTTAATTCAACTCTGCCACTAGCCAGCTATGCAACCATTAAACTGTTGAATCTTTTTGAATCTGTTTCTTTTCTTTTTCTTGTACCAGGGATTGAAATCAGAGGTGCTCAATCACTGAATCACATCCCTAGTCCATTATTGTATTTGGAGACATGGTCTCATTAAGTTGCTTAGGGCCTCACTAAGTTGCTGAGACTGGCTTTGAATTTATAATCCTCCTGCCTCAGCCTCCCAAGCTTCTGGGATTACAGGTGTGCACCACCATACCCTGCTCTCAGTTGTTTTTTATTTGTAAAGTGAGGTGAACAGTGCAATTTTGTAAACATTTAGAATATAAAGAAATTCCATATTAAAGTTTAAGGGCTGGGGCTATAGCTCTGTGGTAGAGCACCAGCTTCTTTTGCACGAGGCCCTAGATTTGATTTCCAGCACAGAAAAAAGAAAGTTCAAAATATGGTTTCTATTTCCTTCAGTCATTCAATGAGCAAAACACCCATGAACAGTTATTGTTTGTTATTTCTGAATTTTTTTGTTTTTTGGAAGCAAACTGGGCCGCAAAACATAAATCTATAACATTTCCAAGATGTCTCAGATAGTCTTACTTTTAGCTTTTTTCTTTTTCCTGTAGCAGACTTGAAGAAGCTTTTTTTTTTATATATTTTTAAATTGGCTTTGTTCATATTACTATATTAGTCATAAAAACATTTGGGGGAAAGGGCTTCTTAACTCTGAATCTTCTATTATCAGAGCTGGGAAAAGAGGATAGATAAATTGAAGTTGTATGAATTGAGCTCAAAAGGAATTTGATTTACAGATAAAAGAAATATTCAAAATATTCAATTGCTGTCAGATTGGATATACAGAGAAATATATCAAAGACAACTCCCAGATTTTAAGCCCAGTGATAAAGAGAGGAGGAGAGTTTGATTCAGGAGGAAGTTAATGAACTTCCAAATGGGCCTGTTGAAGATAGAGTAGTCCCATATGAAAATATCTAAGTGGAAATAGTCCAAAGATCCTGGGAGAGTAGGATTAGAGAAAGAACTGGAGGGAGTTATCTGAGTAGAATATAGAGATTGAGAATGAGCCCAAGACGGCTGAGCACTAACTGGGCATATGGTAAGGTTGAAAGAGCCACATCTCCAGTGAACTCAATGGATATGACTGGTCTGTGTCACAGAAGGTGACTAATTTTGCTTCAGTGAAACTGTCAAGGATAATTCTGAAGTGCTTTCAGGTATGTGGATTAAAACATTCCATTTGTGGTCAAGTATGAGCAGAAAATCCTGCCCCAAATTGCTGGTTCTCTAAGTAGAGTCTGAGTGTCTTCCTGGTGAGTTCTAGACTGATCTAGAAATATACATCAGTGCTTTCATTCCATTTCATTTCTTTTTTTTCTTTTCTTTTTTTTTTTTCTTTTTTCCTTTTTGCAGTGCTAGGGATCAAACCCAGGACCCCAAGCATGCTAGGCAAGTGCTCTACCAACCCCACCCAGTGCTTTCATTCTTACAGGAGATATTAATCCCAAAGACTTCTTGTTTAATCTGAGATTAAAGATTTTATCCTATTATTTATTATAGATTTTTTAAAATCTACTTATGTAGTACCTGTTAGTGGAGTTTCTCTAGAGAAACAGCCAATAAGGGTGTACATGTTAATTTCCTGGCAGTATCATTGAATCTGTTGGAAAAAAGTGACAGTAAATTAACAGGAGAAAAGGCACACAGTTCATTAAAGATCCAAAGGTGCTGGGCACTGTGGAGCACACCTATAATCCCAGAGGCTGAGGCAGAGGGATGGCAAATTCACAGCCAGCCTCAACAATTTAGTGAGGCCCTAAGTAACTCAGCGAGACCATGTCTCTAAATAAAATATTTGAAAGGGCTGGGGATGAGGCTCAGTGGTTAAGCGTCCCTGGATTCAATCCCTAGTACCAAAAATAATAAATAAATAAATAAAGGCCCAGAGACATCACAGAGTGAACACCCAACAACCCAGTGAGATTCAGAAACTTACACACTTTCTTCATAGGGGAGAGAGAAGGGAGACCTGTAAGCATATCTGGAAGGCTATAAAATATTTTTAGAGGAGATGAATGAGCTTAAAGAACAAAGTTTTTCTCATTTCTGGGTATGGTGTCAACTCTAGGTTTCCTTTTTTTTGTGTGTGGGGGGACGGGTAACAGCGATTGAACTCAGGGGCATTCAACCATTGAGCCACATCCCCAGCCCTATTTTTTATTTTATTTAGAGACAGGGTCCCAGTGAGTTGCTTAGCACCTCGCTTTTGCTGAGGCTGGCTTTGAACCCTCCTGTCTCAGCCTCCCCAGCCACTGGGATTACAGGTGTGTGCCACCACCCAGCCAACTCTAGGTTTCTTTCTAATGAGTTAATCTAGAGGATCTGGCCTTTAGGTAGATAAGAGGACTTCAGAGAAAGTCCCTCTCTGTTTCAGAAGGAAAAGAAGAGTGGGGAGTCAGACTAGTTTTCAGACTGCTTCTTCAGTTCAAAGAACTCAGTATATCAAAGAATTATACTTTGGGGCATACAGATATTTTTATTCAAATATATATTTTTATAGTTATATGTATTTGTATTTATATATTTCATATGTAGTTGAAGCTCAAACTAAAAAATATTTACATATTCTATATTATTACATATATTCATTTATATATAGAGAAAAATATATATAAATATGTAAGTATAAATAGACACTGATTCCTTAAAATCTTATATATACGTGGGAGAAGGAAAGGAAGGATATTTTTAAGGAACTGATATATATTATCAAG